TTTCCCGTCTCTTCTTTTCTGGTCCGCTTCTCAATTTCCTCCGACCAGCTTGCCCAGTCCGTTTTTTTTTTTTCGTTTCAGCTTTCCATAGCTGAGCTGGATCCTTACCGAGAGACGTCTTAACGATGTCAGAGGCTTTCCCACCCAAGTTAGAAGTCTTTATGCCTGCAAAGTATTTCTCGAGGTAAAACACGGGTTGTGGTTCCAGCTGTTTGGATTTGGTGTCACGCTGAGTCCAGTTTATACTGAGATTAAACGTGAAAAGGTAAGAACACCAGGGGGAAGGGGGAGGACGTGGAAAGCAAAGGGGCTTGGCCGAGGGTTAAATATTCACCAATACTAACTGATTCAAAAAGTGCCCCTTGACCGTGTTATCTATGAAACATAAAAATCATACAGACCCCCCTCCTGGTCCTGTGATCTCCTGCCAGTGAAACTTCCCTACGTTATGCAACCCACTTCCATTGTGTCACATTGCCTATACGGTATCTCAATCCAGCTGCCAACGTTCTCAGCACAGCGCAGCCTTCTATTGCAACATTCCCAGTCTACAAAGAAAAGAGTGCGAAGGATAATAAACTGTGTGGATTCTAAAGGTTAAAAAAAAAAAAAAAAAAAAAAGATCAAGTGGTCCATTATTTATTTTAGGTCACTTTACATATATATTGTGTCTTCACATCAGTCCCTAACCCTCAAGGGGTGTCCAATCTAAGGTCCCTAACCCTCAAGGAGCAACAATCTAAGGTCCCTAACCCTCAAGGAGCAACAATCTAAGGTCCCTAACCCTCAAGGGGCGACAATCTAAGGTCCCTAAGGTCATAACCCTCAAGGGGTGTACAATCTAAGGTCCCTAACCGTCAAGGGGCGACAATCTAAGGTCCCTAACCCTCAAGGGGGCGACGACAATCTAAGGTCCCTAACCCTCAAGGGGTGTACAATCTAAGGTCCCTAACCTTCAAGGGGCGACAATCTAAGGTCCCTAACCCTCAAGGGGCGACAATAAGGTCAACCCTCAAGGGCGACAATCTAAGGTCCCTAACCCTCAAGGGGGACAATCTAACCTTCAAGGTCCCTAAGGTCCCTAACCCTCAAGGGGCGACAATCTAAGGTCCCTAACCCTCAAGGGGCGTACAATCTAAGGTCCCTAACCCTCAAGGGGCGACAATCTAAGGTCCCTAACCCTCAAGGGGCGTACAATCTAAGGTCCCTAACCCTCAAGGGGCGTACAATCTAAGGTCCCTAACCCTCAAGGGGTGTACAATCTAAGGTCCCTAACCCTCAAGGGGCGACAATCTAAGGTCATGACCCTCAAGGGGCGACAATCTAAGGTCCCTAACCCTCAAGGGGTGTACAATCTAAGGTCCCTAACCCTCAAGGGGCGTACAATCTAAGGTCCCTAACCCTCAAGGGGCGTACAATCTAAGGTCCCTAACCCTCAAGGGGGCGGGGCATACAATCTAAGGTCCCTAACACCCAAAGGGAGTACAATCTAAGGTCCCTAACCCCCAAAGGGAGTACAATCTAAGGTCCCTAACCCTCAAGGGGCGTACAATCTAAGGTCCCTAACCCTCAAGGGGTGTACAATCTAAGGTCCCTAACCCTCAAGGGGCGTACAAGGTCTATGGTCCCTAACTCACATTCATACATACACATACTAGGGACAATTTAGACAGGAGCCAATTCACCTTCCAACATGTCTTTAGACTGTGGGAGGAAACCGGCGCGCCCGAAGGAAACCCACACAGGCACAGGGAGAACATGCAAACTCCAGGCAGGTGGTGCTGTGGTTGGGATTTGTGCCAACGACCCGAGTACTGCCAGGCAGAAGTGCTCACCATTTATCCACTGGCCTGCCCATTTTGTGTGTAGTATAGACCAGGGACGGACTGACCATTATCTCATCATTTTTTTTTAATTTTTTTATAAATACACCCCTGCTTTTGATCATCAGCGCCAACTAGTGGCCATAATGCAGCATTTTCCTGATTCATGTTTTTCTGTAGGAATTAATAACATTCGACCTACAGGGAAAATAGCTGATTAACATTTGATTTTCCCACATTCACACAAAATGAATGGATATGCAGTTTATTAGAATGAATATTTCAGCATTTTAATTTTTTTTTTATAAATACACCCCATATTGCTCGTTGACTCACTAGCTCTGCTGAATGGGTGTTTTAACTACTATTTTGGTGAAATGTTACCTTCGATCTTCCCTCCTGCTAGTTTAAGACCATGCCCCTGTTGTCAATATACTGTCCTTCAAATATAAAAAACACAAATTAACAAAGAAGTTGCCCCTTTTTTTTGCCCCTTGACCAACCCCCCCGCCAGGCAATAATGTTTTCCTAGCTTGTCCTATAGCTGTGGTAGTGTGGTCCCCCCACTGATTGCTGACCACACATCGAGCAAGGAGACGAATATTTCATTACCTATCAATAGCAGCACCTTGTGAACCAGGCGCATCCACCAGACACGTTGCCATCACTTGGTATACAGGGGAAGTTGGCTGTCACTCTCCTCCGATTGGTCTTTTTATTGGTTGCTAAGACTCAGGTGGGCTGGGCTGCAAAGCATCATTGGTTGCCAGGACAAAGGAGGCCGTCTTCACCAGAAGAACCAATGATGTGGTGCTCCCCAGCTACCTGTGTCCTAGCAGTCAAGGACACTGTGCTGAAGGGGCCACCTGCGTCCTAAAAACCAAGGATTCTGGGCGGCAGAGGGTGCCTGTGACCGAGCAACCAAGTGCCCTGACCAGCAGGGGCCGCCTGTGTCCTAAGAACTAAGGATTCTGAGCAGCAGAGGGCCACCTTCATCCTTGCAACTAAAGACACTAACCAGCAGGGGCCGCCTGTGTCCTAGCAACCAAGGATTCTGGGAGTCGGGGGGAGTCTGTGTCCGAGCAACCAAGAGCCCTGACCAGCAGAGGCCGCCTGTGTCCTAGCAACCAAGGATTCTGAGCAGCAGAGGGCCACCTTCATCCTTACAACCAAAGACACTAACCAGCAGGGGCCACCTGTGTCCTAACAACCAAGGATTCTGAGCGGCAGGGGGTGCCTGTGTCCTAGCAACCAAAAACACTGACTGGCTGGGGCCGCCTGTGTCCTAGCAACCAAGAATTCTTAGCAGCAGAGGGCCACCTTTATTCTTTCAACCAAGGACACTGAGCAGCAGCGTATGCCTGTATCCTAACAACTAAGGATTCTGATTATCAGGAGCCACCTGCACCTTAGCAACCAATGGAACTGCAAAAGGGACATTTGCATCCTAGCAACCAAGGATTGTTGAGAGGCAGGGGCTGCCTGCATCCTAGCAACCAAGTTTGCCGAGTGGACAATATAAAACAGAACTGAGACCAGAATAGGGAGAAACAGAACAAGGAGCCAGTCAGATGCTGCAGTACAAAGACATGCTGATAGGAAGAGAGAGCAGAGTAACAGAGATAAACTCATCTGTGTGCTGCTTCTCTGTTTACTGTCCAATCATGGGTTGGGTGACAAAACCTGTAAGTGTCATCTAACCGCAGCAGAGAAAAATCAAGTTCACTCCCCTATCAGACAGGATTGTTCTGTGTGGCGGAGCTGTGACAATTTCAGGACTGGATGGAAAGGAAAAACCAACTTTACAGATATGTATCTCATTATTTATTACCGATACTTATATAGTTTCATCGATTTACACATATATTGTGCATTCACATCAGTCCCAAACCCTCAAGCAGGGGCAGACTGACAACTCATGGGGCCCCCGGGAAATAGGGGATCATGGGGCCCCTGTGTCCTTGCCCAAACTCAAAAAAGCCTATGAAAAAGGTACCAGGGGCATCTCATGGGGCCCCCTACTGACCCGGGCCCTCAGGCAGTGTCGAGTTTCCAAATGGTCAGTCCATCCCTGACCTCAAGGGGCGTACAATCTAAGGTCCCTAACTCACATTCATACATACACATACTAGGGACAATTTAGACAGGAGACAATTCACCTACCAGCATGTCTTTGGCGTGTGGAAGGAAACTGGAGTACCTGAAGGAAACCCACGCAGGCACAGGGAGAACATGCAAACTCTAGGCAGGTGGTGCCGTGGTTGGGATTTGAGCCTACAACCCTAGTACTGCCAAGCAGAAGTGCTTACCATTTAGCCGCTGTGCCCCCCACCCAGGGGTGAACTGACCATTCGAGCACTCGGGCACTGCCCGAGGGCCCGGTGTCAGTAGGGGGCCCCATGAGATGCCCCTGGTACCTTTAATTGGCTTTTTCATAGGCTTTTTTGGGTGTGGGCGAGGATACAGGGGCCCCATGCACCCCTATTGCCTGGGGGCCCCATGAGTTGTCAGTCCTCCCCTGCCCCCACCTCATACGTCTATGAATTTAACATTTTCTCATCATTCATTAAAATAATCCCTGGTGATCCTGCCACGAAAGTCTTTGTTCAGGCACTTCCTGTTATAGAGTGACAACCAGGGGCAGACTGACAACTCATGGGGCCCCCGGGCAATAGGGGATCATGAGGGCCCTGTGCCCTAGCCCACACTCAAACCTGGGCTCTGTCTGACTTGCTGCAGCTTCTAATGCACATTGGGAGAAGCTCACAGTGTGCAGTGAAATCAGAGTAAGCCATTTCAGTCGAGGAGAAAAGTGAACATACATACACTTCAACCAGGGGCGGACTGACAACTCATGGGGCCCCCGGGCAATAGGGGATCATGGGGCCCCTGTGTCCTTGCCCAAACTCAAAAAAGCCTATGAAAAAGGTACCAGGGGCATATCATGGGGCCCCCTACTGACCCTGGTCCCTCAGGCAGTGCCCGAGCATCCGAATGGTCAGTCCGCCCCTGGTGACAACGCATCGTCCCCCATTTCCCAACTGCTCTACTGCTTTGTCACCCTGTCCAAAGGAAGGTACAAGCAATGGTCCTCTGTGATGCCACACGGCCATTGCTGGGGTGAATGTAGAATGAAAGTGGCTGCAAAGAGTTTGCAGGAGATCAGCAACACAGAGA